GTATAAAAGTAATACATTAGACAATAATAATAATGATATAAACAAAAATAATGATTTACTACCCCGTACATACCTATTTATGTAGAGAAGATTAATAGATTAAATAATAAAAATATCAGTATCATTTTATAGCACGAAAAAATTTAAAACATTTATAAAAGCACACAAAGATCCCTGCCACGAAATGTAAAAAGTAATATACTTGTAGTATATTGGGTTAAAGAAAACGTCTTTTTACAAGTTGGAGCATAATCGAAACATATTTTTGTAATTGTTAAACCTTTTATTAAACTAAATATGTACAATTTTGATTAATAACCTTTTGCCATTTCTCGGGTACAACTATTATTCCATTGGTGTAGACCTTCTGTGATTTCTCAGTAAAAAAAACCGAGATAAATGATTTTCGCAGGCCTCTTTTGAAGTCAAGTTTACTCCATTAAGGAAATTCTGCTAATACTAAAACAAATGTAATCGGATGGTGCAAGGTCAGGATTATACAGTAAATGCATCAAAACTTCCCAGTTAAGCTCTCTCAATTTTTGTCAAGTCATCAAAGACTGTATGGCCGTTGTCATAATGAAAAACAACGCCTCTTCTATTGATCAATTCTAGCCGTTTTTTCTGAATGGATTACTCCAATCGCATTAGTTGTTGATAGTAGAGATCAGAAACAATCGTTTTGTCTGGCGACAGCAGTTCATAATGGACGACTCATTTCCAGACACATACATCTTTTTTGGCTACAATCTGGGCTTTGCGATTGTTTGTGGTGCCTTATCTTGTTTCGACCACAATCTTTTCCGAACATTATTATCATATGTTACCCACTTTTTAAACAGACCTCGTATTGTAGAATCCTTTCAAAATTATTGCACACGAGATGTGAAAGGTTGAAACATTTCTGAAAATTTTTTGCAATAATCGGTGCTATATGGATTTTTAAAACACAAACAAAAATGTAACCTTATAAACAAACACTGAAGATCCTCACAAAGCCTATCTTCCTATCATCGACAAAATGTAATTATAAGACAGATTTGAATCGTTAGTTAGTGACAGATGTAGAGCCGTAAACTACACAACATTAGTTTAATTTATACATAAATAACACTTGTGAATATTCAATTTATATACTTTTAATCGAATAAATATTAAGATCTAACAACATTATATTTTAACATACTGACTAAAACATAATTAACAATATCTACAACGCCTGTGGTGAGTAATATTCATCTCAATGATAAATTATCATTTGTTACATTTATATTTAATTCAATATACAGCGTATCGATATTCATTCAGTCAATCAATCGATTGAGAGAAACAACCATACAGCGTTATAAAGCATTAACCGATGTGCAAGATTTCAGAAATAATGACAAATAAACAGACACAAGTAATGCAACTATATCAATGCAGAATTAATAGATGCAAAAATATCATTGTCGTCAGAATTTCTGAAGAAGGCCCAAAAGGAGCAAAAACATGTAAGAAGTATCATAAATGTATCATAGATAATCGAATCTGATAAATCAATATATATTTATAGAAAATAATTATTACTATTTACCGCGCTTGACTCCTATGCCCTTATACCGTTTTTAATTTAAGGCTAATATAAAGTTGCAATTCTTTAGTTTTGACGTTTATATTACTATTACAATCTAGAGATTTATTAGGAAATTCATAAATTTATTAGAAAACTTTAATTCTAATAGATCACCTGAAGTACTAAAGATTGATGATAAAGGATATATCATTGTTGGTGACGCTGGAAATGGAAGAGTACAAATTTTCTCTCCAGAAGGTAAATTTCTACAGGTGTTAGGTGATAAAAAAACGCAAGGACATAAATTTGCATGGGTATCTGGTTTGTTAGTGACAAATAATTACAATATTTTGGTCTCTGATAGCAAGAATAATTTTATTCATTTATTTTAATATCATACTCTAATGTAAAAATGCTTTTAATTAATAAAGAGAGCAAGTTCCCACCTTCGACAAGCTTTTTTAATAAACTTTGGATATCAAAATGTAAAACATTTTTATAAGTCATTTATACACATATTAAAGAAGAAATATGTTCTAAAAAAATTTATTTTGTTTTAATGTTCTTAAGGATATATCTAAACCATTTTTGCAAATGTGTTAATATTTATACTTTAAACAGACTATATATATATATATATATATATAGGGTGTCTGGAATGTACGGTCCCATTCGTCCCGAGCAGGTAGAGCGGACTAAACTAAGTCGAAAAGTCCTGTACTATTTTGCAATGTTTGCAATAATTAACAAGATATTAACATTTAAAGATAGCCGAATACGCGCGTCCGTCCGACTTATTATTGCTGAAGGTACGGCCCATCAAGCGCATGGAGCGCAAGCCACGAGGAGCGGGAATGGCCTATGGCCTAGCAAGTGCGCCGCGCCGTTCGAGCTTAGAAGCTTACGGCGGTAAGAGGAGCGCTTGTCCCACTCCCCGCGCGCCAAGCTATCGATGGCGAATATTCGCCGCTTAATACAATTACTGTTTTATGTTTTATGTTTTTTTTACACGATCATTCAATGAAATTTATGCGGATATCCGAACTTCCATGAGATAAAGTAAAAAAATGTAGAAAAATATCATTCTAGTGCTAAAAGAGAACGCAATTCTTCTTCTTTTGAGTAAATTATATCATTACAAAGAATATTTTCTTGATAATATAATTTTAAAATACTTTTATTATTTACTTGAAACAAATAATATTTATGTAACATTTTTTTGTATGTACATGTGTGCACGCTTCAGAACGAACTAAACTGAGTTTTTTCCAACAGTTCTTGATTATTTCCCAATTTTCGCAATCGAGATATTATTTTTAAAGCGCCGAATATTCGCCATCGATAGCTTGGCGGGCGGGGAATGGGTCAAACGCTCCGCTCACCGCTGCGAGTCTCTAAGCTCGAACGCAGCGCGTCTGCTAGACCATCCCCGCTCCTCGCGGCTCACGCGCCGTGCGCTCGGTGAGCCGTACCTTCGGCAATAGTAAGTCGGGCGAACGCGTGTATTCGGCTATCTTTAAACGTTAATATTTCGTTAATCATTGCGAGCATTGTAAAATAGTACAGGACTTTTCGATTTAGTTTAATCCGCTCTACCTGCTCGGGACGAGTGGGGCCGTACATTCCAAACACCCTGTATATGTATAAGATATGTACAAATAACATTCTATTATTGTTCAACACATTTTTATAGTTTATTTATCTTATTTGTTATTATTGTTATTGTTATTAACTAAACTTTATAAAATGATAACAAAAATCTAAATTCTTTTTATAAGTACTTTAAGTATTTAAATAATTTATGCATAGTTTCATTGCGATTCACTGATTAGTTATAAAAATTTAGAACAAATAAATAGTTCCTTTATTTACTGAACAATTAGTTTATGTATAATAACTTTACATATATAATCTTGAATATGAAGAGTATTTATATTTAAAAATTGAGATTTTTATTAATTACTGTATAATTTCCATACATGTTTATTAGAGCACAGATTTAAAAAATATAATTGCTTATATTTTAAAATAACTTATGATTGAGATAGTAAACCGTCAATAATAAAATATGTATTGTATTACCTTTAAATGTGGTAGAATAATCTGTAATTCTTTTACAACTATTTTAAAATAATTTTAAAATATTTCAGATACAGTTTTAAAAAGTACATAATAATAAGTAAAGAGCAAAGTAAGAGTCGACACATTTCTTTAAAATTACACGAAGAATATATTATAGTTAACAAGAGGTAAAATTACATAAAGCAAAAATAAAATTAAAAATTAAAAAATAATAAAAAGTTACAAGTTTCGGCTACCGGATTGAGTCCTCTTCAGACATTAACATAACAAAAAAATCGTAGTACAAAATCAATTATCACAAATGATCGCATATTCATTACATTCACAGTTCGGGTGAGTTTTGATCGACATTATTTCCGTATGATTGAACAGTCAAATGTATTAAAAATATTTTGGCAAAGGTCAAAAAACATGTGTAAAATATTCAAACAAGTATGTCTATAAAAGAATAAAAAACTTTTAGAATATATACAGAAAAAAGGAACGCAGATATGTAAGACGGATATTATGTGTCGATTATTATGTACGTTCGTTAGTGCGCATCACCACAGACTCAATCCATCAACTCTTACTTTGCCCTTTACTTATTATTATTTATTTTGTATAGAAAGAGTCCTTCGATTTGTTATTTATTTAAAAAGTATTGTATTATACCTTAAAAAAAGTAATATAAAAAATATTTTAAATAAGATTCATATAGATTAAAGCTGTTTTTTATAATAATATTTTAAGAATTTCTCAAAGATATAATACCATATTTCTCATAATATTATAACTCTGTTTTTGAGAATTTTCAAATTATTTTGTATTGCATCATTGAATTTTTCCTTAAATAAAGTTTAAGTCTCTCTAAAAGAATTCTTTTTAATTTATGTTTAAGACTCCTATAAACCGCATCGCAATTAATTATAATAGTGTGTTCTGCATGAGTTCTTAAAGTAGAAATCACCAACGGACTCGAAATTTCTCTTTATTTGTTGGAGATCAATAAACAAAAACTCATGTTGTGCATATACAAAAACATTTAACTAACAACGCCTCAAGTTTAATAAAGCTCAGAGCACTCGCGTACTTTCATGAGATTGGAGTAACGTGCTCGAATGCCAATCATCCACCCGCTTTTTCATTCGCACATGTTAAGAATATGTTAAGAAGAATCTCCTTGCGATTAAACCTATAGATTGCCAATCATGCTCGGGGTCCAAAGGTCTTATTTGTCAATTTATTCATCAATTAACAGATTGAAGGATTTTTCCTATACAAAATAAATAATAAATAAAAAGCAAAGTAAGAGTCAACACATTTTCTTTAAAAAGTCACACAATTAAAAGAATAAACTACAAATAGAGAAAAGTAACATTATATTAGGTTGTTCGGAAAGTAATTTCGTTTTTTCCCAACAGAGGACTTATTTTTCACAGCCAACTTCACACTTAAGCCGCATAATCATTATATATTTTGACAGCTGATATAACAAGGCTTGCTTGTGAAAAAAGTTTGATTGATTCTACGCAGTAGTTTTTGGTTGGTGCCCTATCAAATATGAAAGTGAAAAGCAGCATTTTCGGCATATTTTACTTTTTTACTATTGAAAAGGTAAAAATGCTGTTCAAGCAAGAAAAAAATTATCCAATGTGTATGGAGAAGATGTATTGACAGAACGCCAGTGCCAAAACTGATTTGCAAAATTTCGATTCGGCAATTTTGATGTTGAAGATGCACTACGTTCTGGAAGGCCAATTGAAGTTGATGAAGACACAATAAAAAATTGATGCAAACCGGCGAATAACAACTCGTGAGATCGCTGAGAGATTAAATTTATCGAATTTTTTCATGATTATTTGAAACGCGTCTGATTGAAAATCGTCTTTCATTTTCATAAGAAAAAACGAAATTACTTTCCGAACAACCTAATATAATGAAAAAATAAAAAATAAATAAAAACTCAGTTTATACAAGTTTCGGCTACCAGATTGAGTCCTTTTCAGACATGAACTTATCGAAAAAATCGCAGTACAAAATTAATTATCGCAAATACTCGCATATTTATTATGTTCACAGTTCGGGTGAATCTTGATGTAGAGCTCGACATTGTTCACGTACGATTTAATAGTCAAATGCGTAACATATCTCTTGGAAAAGTTGATAAAAAAGATAAAAAGATTTCTTACGAAAAAATAAACGCATATAGATTAACATACCGGAATATTAACAAGTAATAAAAATTCGCCAAAAATTATGTGTAAATTATTCAAACAAGTGTGTCCATATAAGTATTTAAAAAAACCATTAGAATATATAAAGACAATAGGAACGCTTAATTTCCGAGATGCTCAATATTAAGAAGCAAAAAAATAGTTTGAATTTACAAACTGACACTGAAGGTCTTCATAAGACATATATACTCATTGTAAATAAGGTTTGACTTTACTGACAGTCCGTCTCTTCTCTCAGTTCATGGTGATCCGTATCAGCGAGCGTACATACATAATAACCGATACACAATGTCCGTCTTACACATCTGCGTTCTACTTGTCTTTATATATTCTAATGGTTTTTTTATACTTATATGGACACACTTGTTTGAATAATTTACATATGATTTTTGGTGAGTTTTTATTACTTGTTAATATTCTGGTATGTTAATCTATATGCATTTATTTTTCCGTAAGAAATCTTTTTATCTTTTTTATCAACTAGAACTTTTTCAAGAGATATGTTACATTTGACTGTTTAATCTTACGTGAATAATGTCGAGTTCTACATCAAGGCTCACCCGAAATGTGAACATAATGAATATGCGAACATTTGTGATAATTAATTTTGTACTGCGATTTTTTCGATAAGTTAATGTCTGAAGAGGGTTCAATCCGGTAGTCGAAAAACTTGTATAAACTGAGTTTTTATTTATTTTTTATTTTTTCATTATATAATATTACTTTTCTTTATTTGTAGTTTATTCTTTTAATTATGTGACTTTTTAAAGAAAATATGTTGACTCTTACCTTTATTTATTATTACTTAATTTATTCATCAATTTATAATTTGAGAAATTTTATTGGCGGTCGATCGAAAGAGCCTTTTATATTTGTTCAGCCGAATATAAAAAATTGAAATCGGCAAGCTTGCTTAGTCGATCGCCTCCGAGAAAACTAATCAAAAATTTCCTCTCTGTAGAAATCCGCCGAATCTTAATTATTCACCGGGCTCATTTAATTAATTAGCGTTGTGATGAGTATTCCAAAAGAAAAATCCTTTATCTGAAAGACAAAGTAAAAAATTTTTTTTGTATTTCAAATTCCTTCCTATATTTAAAATTTTCTACAATATATTTAACATTTGTGTGTATGAATAAGAATACAGATTGTGTCTTATTGTGCGTGTGCGTGTGTGTGTGCGTGTGTATGTGCGTGTGCGTGTGCGTGTGCGTGTGTGTGTGTGTGTGTGTGTGTGAAAGAATAGATATAGGTCTCTTTCCTATCTGCTACAAAAAATTTTCCTCCTTACCTATCTTTGCTCAAACATTTTCTGGTCCTTCGAGCTGGTCCGGATTACTCGCTGGTTGCCACATGTATGAGAGTGCATCCGTCGCGTTTAATATGCATAGTGATCAAAAGAACAGAAGGAGAAAATAAGTGAATGAACTATGAGTGTTGACATAAATACCTTGTTAATCGCCTAAATTGTCCATGTCTCCTGGTCACATGGCCGGTTTCAAATCTGAACAAGATGGATACCGCGGATATCACTCTCTATGCTATACTCTCAAAACATCTGACTCTTTTCGATCAGTTGTGGGCTCAGTTTGAAAAGCAGCATGAGCTTATCCGAGCACACTATAAAGAATCCTTTGACAATAGTAAATAGGATTCAAATTGTAGATTTCGCTGAAATTACGTACGTGTAGTAGTGCAGCCTATTGAACAAGTACGCAAAGTTGAGCGTTCAAAATCTGCTCCTTCAAATAAATCAGGAAACGATTTCTCCACCAAACCGGTGCTATCGCGTCTTAAAATCCGGTCATTTTCTGGCGTGTTCGAAGACTGGCATTTCAAAACATTTTTCTGTCCATCATCAGGAACAATCCGTCCATCTCAAACGTGGAGAAGTTTCATCACTTGAAATATGTTGTTTGGAAGAGCCAGCTAAATAATTAGTATATCCGTTAGCAGTGACCGGAAACAATTATCTTCGTGCTTGAGCATTGCTGTGCAAACATTACGAAAACAAAAGAAAATGATCGCGTTCTAATTTTTGCACGCTTGTCGCCGTGTCGAAGATGAAAGGCGATATAGCCGAAGAGCTCAACCGCATTTATAATGCAGCTATCAGTGCTATAAACAATCAGGAAAACATCGGAAGACCAATTAATTCTTATGGCTTTAATTTCTACAATGACCTCATCATTGAGCACCGATCCGAAGATTCGCTTGGGAATCACATACTAATAATTCTACCGATCTGTCGGCACATAAAACTCTCATAGACTTCATCAAATGAATATTCACTCTCAAGGTTGCGAAACCAAAACCCATCAAAGTCTCTGGAGATCTGCCGCATATCACAAAATCACATGTCGCCAAACGAATAGCTGACGCCTCCAGTTGTGTTTTGTGCAAAGGTAAACACGATATAATGATGCGAGCAATTCAAGGTAAAGGTCCGCATTCGATCGAAAGACCGTCGCGGAAACATACTGGTTGTGTTATAATTATCTCGGTTCTGACACAACCGTGAAGTGTCTATCAACCAAGACGTGCACCACGTGCAAAGCTAGACATCATTCGCTTTTTCATGAAGCATACGCTTATTCCTAAATTCGCCGAAGTGAGCGCGCTGTCCGCTGTGCGCTAGAATAAGGATTGTGGCGATTCTTCTAGCAACTGCTAGACTCACTGTAATCGCCACGGAGACTTGCATTCTGTCAGGCCGCTGATCAAGAATCAGAAGTCTCACTGATTTCCGAAGCAATGGTCTTAATTTTCGGCAGGCTTGTGCCTGCCAAGATCCCGAGCAATAGTCTTAATTTTCAGAATCGGCGGTTCTCATTCAAGCTCTAATAGCAGAAAGATGACACAGATAAACTGTATGACTACCATTTGCTTCGCCACCAACGGCACTTAGTGAAACTCGTTACCCAGCCGAACAATTGCTGATCGTCATGAAACGGAGATGTTAACGTGATATTCGTCAATTTCGGAGAATTCTCCCATGCTTTCCAGAAAAAAATACGAGAACTTAAGTCACATGAAACTCGCGGTAAGATCATCAGACTTACAAGAACAAGTGCTACTTATCTCACCACGGGATGCTCCGAGAATCGAGTGTTTTAATCAAACTCAGGATGGTATTTAATGAGTCGCAGCGTACGAAGTCCGGTGAGTCTCTGAACTCCCAACTTTTGATCGGGATCAATTTATTGTCACCACTTGTTGACATACTAACGCTGACGATGACACCGATATGCACTCGTGATGGACGTTAAGAAAATATACCGCCAGATTCTTGTAGTTTCTGAAGATCGAGAACCAATGAATTCCCTGGCGTCATTTGGTCAACGATCCGATACATGAGTAGTAAGTTGAATACTGTCATATATGAAGACTTCCGTACAATTGTTGGAGCGAATGGTGGAGAGCTGTTACAGTGATGAAAAAAAGTGAGAATAGGAGAGAAATAGGCGTGAAAGTGTGTGAGGTAGAAGCGGAGAGTGCAGGGAAGGAGCTCCACGGAGAAGGTGGAGTGCAGTGATGCGCAGGAAAGGATGAGAGAGGGGAGAGAGAGAAAGGTTAGTTGCAGCAAGGAAACGGAGCACGAAGCAGGGGGAGGGAGGGGAGAGGGGCAGGCGACGACGAGAGAAGCGAGATGCGCGCGAGACACGGATCGAAATAGAGTTGAGAGAAAACTCACAAGGTGAGAAGGCGGAAGGCACGAGGCAGAAATAGACCAAGAGGAGACTTGAGAAGAATTGAGTAGAGTGCGATGATTGGTGGATGATAAGCGAAAAGAAGCTGGAGTGAATGAGCTTAGATAAGCTCGGGAGATTGAAAGAAGCGAGAAGGGGCAGCGTGAAAATAATAGAGGAACTGTTTAAAAGAAAGAAGGGAGTGGAAAATAAAGAGATGGAAGAAGGAAGGTGAGCGTTTGGAAAGAGCAGGAAAGTTGCAAGATCACCAGCAAAAGGGGGGGGAGGGGTATGACAGATTTGCTGAGAGAGATAAGGGCGGAGATGAAAGAATTGAAAGATCAGGGAAGGAGAACAGAGGAAACAATTAAACAGAAAGTAGATAAAGTGAGGAAAGAATTGGAAGAAAGAGAGAGGAGGTGGAATAATGAGAAGGCGGAGATGGAGAATAAAATAAAGGTACTGGAGAAGAGGATGGAGGAGTAAGAAGAGTGGTGGAAGAGAAAGGAGAGGGAGGAAGAGAAGGAGGAGAAAAATGGAGAGAAAAGGGTAAGGAAGGGATGGGATAAGAAGAGAATAGAATGAGACAGATTGAGAAGATAATGGATATGAGGGAGAAAAAGGAAAAAAGAAAGAACATAGTGATCAAGAAGAGAAAGAAGGAAAACATACGAGACGAAGTGAAGGATCTGATCAGGGATGGAGATGGATGTAAAAATGAAGGAAGTAAGAGAGGTGGGGAGGAGAGAGAGCAATCATAAAAAATGGTCAAGTTAGGCAGCAAAGAGGAGAAGAGGGAGATAATGAAAAGGAAGAGCATATTGAAGGAGAGAGTGGAAAGAATAGAAGATGACTGGACGTGTAACAAGAGGAGGATACAATTTAACCTAAGAAGAATAGCGGAAGAGAAAGAAAGGGAAGGAACGAGAACGCAAGCGACATATCGGCACATTTGGTTGGAAGGAAAATGGAGGAGTTGAGATAATGGAAAGGAAGTGCTGAGAGACCAAAGTGGGAAAGGAGAATAAAGGAAGATGGGGAAAGAAGACTGAGGGGGAAGAAGAGAGAGTGGGGAAGTAAGGGGGAGAGGGGTAAATGAGGGGAAGGCGGGGGGGGGGGATGAAAAGTAGTATTCTGGAATATGGCAAGACTTGCAGGAAAGGACGAAGATTTTTGGCAAGGATTAACAAACTGGGATATCATAGGCTTAATGAAGACATGAGTAGAACACAAGAATTGGTACAAGATTAAAGAAAAGCTGCCGAAAGGATACAGGTGGAAATACCAAGCAACAAAAAAGAGGAATAGGAAAGGAAGATGGAAATGTATAGTGACAAGAGGGAGAGGATAGAGGAGAATCGGGCAAAGGAAGAGAAAGTGGAAGGAATGATGCAAAGGATAATAAAGCTAGAGGGAAGGAAATGGAGGATAATCACTGTATACATTAGAGGGGAGATGGAGGAGAAGCTGAAGAGGCTGACAGAGAGAATTAGGGAGGCAAAAAGTTAAAAAGATCATATCTTGCTAGGTGGGGAGACAAGGAGACAAGAGAAAAGCAAAGGTGAGGGAATCGAGATATAATGAAGGCTACGGACGGATAAAAACGAACGGGGTGCCACAATTAAAAGAGGGAAGAAAGGAGAAGAGAGTCATAAGGATAGCTAGGTTTAGATTGGGAAACAAGATGAGAGGAGGGAGATATTAGGAAGAGAAAGAAAAACGCAAATGCAGAATGTACGGAGTGGAGAAAAAAATGTGGGAGCACATGTTGGAGAGATGTGCCAAATGGAACGAGGACGAGGAGAGTCTGAGTATGGAGGGCATACTGGAACAGGGAGGGGGAGAGAGAGGGAACGACTGGATGAGACGGCAGCTGAGGATAAGAGGCGAGGCATTGAGAGATGATGAAGAGGAGGGGAAGAATATGGACACGAGGAAGAGGGAGACGTTGTAATAAAGACTAAATAAGGAAGTTATATAAAAAAGTTCTTGTAACCTTAAAGAAGGAACAATAAAGAATATCTATCTAGTATATGGTATATCGTGCCATTTTTCGCCATTCATACACTCCTTCAACTTACTGATCGACACCTATCGCTATAATAATAAATCGTAATATCTCTAATTTTAATTTTATGTGTTTTTTTATCATTAGAATTTTCGCTAGACCTCCGCGAGAAATTCTATCAAATCTATGACAAAGTCGTTCTGTTGAGAGTTCTGGGTAGCTCCCGCGAAGTTCTACCAAAAATCCTAATGATAAAAGAATCAAGATTTTTGCAGGCCTCCGCCGTGTTACGACAGCAACGTCGATGACATCCCTTATAAAGCTGGCACCCCGTTTAAAACAAAATTAATTTTTTTAGAGTTATGTATAGACTTTTAATAGTTTCAGAGTTCTTGATAGTTTTAAAAAATAGTTCTAGTTATTAAAGACATGAAAATACGATTTATAGATACAGGAGGCTAACTTTATGCAGCCTCCTATTTCTTTCAAAAAATTCTTTCTTCTCTAGTTCTGGATAGATTTCGAATAGTTCCACAGTTCTTGATGTATTTTAGTGTTACGTCCGGCGGACTCACGCGACTCTTTTCTTTCATAAAGATCTCGAATTCCTCGAAACACTAAAATTTTATATTCTTTCCTTTTTTTTCTTTATCTTAAAAACTAAAAATCCGGTATCTCCTCGTGAATGTCGCTCCGAGATAAAAATCAATAATAAATACCTATGGAAAAGCGTAAGACCGGCGCCAAGATTAACGGTCAAGTCGCGAACGATTCTCGCGAATTACAAAATTACAAAATTTAAGAAACGGCACGCGACGTTCAGGGGTAAATTCTGGGTGGTCCCGTGGCGAATGCATGCGCGACTTCTCGGCCCGAGACGCGCGTTTCCCCATAAATCTTAAGGTCATAAAATTTTGGAGTTTCACTTTCCCACTCTACCGATTTCTGTCAACATCCTTTCCTCCCCCAAAATCTTGACCAATCTAAGAGCAAAAGAAAATCCTACTACCAGCCAACGAAACCTATTCCACCAATCCAAATTTGAGTAATCTGGGGCGATTAGTATAAAAATCGTGGTTCCGCAACCCTTCAGATAAAGGGTGTCTCAAAATGATCTGACATTTTAAATTGCGCGCCATTTTTTTGCAGCGAACGTAACGTACTAACCTTTAACAACTGGCATCAGGAAGTATTGAGGTTTAGTCATGGAGAATTACACGATCGAGCAACGCATAGAAATTGTGAAAATCTACTACAAATATGGTGAACATTTTGCAGAGACGGTTCGAAAAGTCCGCACGTCTTTTGGTCATCATAACGCACCATTTCGCAATACTGTGGTGAATTTAATAGAAAAATTTGAGATTAGTGGCTCACTTTTAACCGCGAAAAGCAGTGGCCGTTCTCGTACTGGTCGGTCGAATGAAAACATAGCCACAGTGAGTGCGAGTGTTGACGAAAGTCCTTCCACCTCGATTCGCCATCGTGCTCAGCAATTGGACATTTCAAGATCCTCTGTGCAGCGAATTTTGACGAAAGATCTGCATTTACGTGCTTACAAGATCCAATTGACACAAGAACTGCAACCAGCAGACCATGCGCAGCGCCGTACATTCGCCAATTGGATATTGGAGCATCAACAAATCGATGGTGATTTTTCGAAGAAAATCATCTTCAGCGATAAGGCGCATTTTCAACTTAATGGGTACGTGAATAAACAAAACTGTCGAATTTGGGGGACTGAACATCCACAAGTGATCCAACAGCTTCCCATGCATCCACCACGAGTCACTGTTTGGTGCGGATTTTGGGTTGGAGGAGTGATTGGGCCGTACTTCTTCGAGAATGCTACGGGAAATGCGGTTACCGTCAATGGTGTTCGTTATCGTGACATGATAACCAACTTCTTATTGGAAGAATTGAACGGCATAGACTTGGAAGACATATTCTTTCAACAAGATGGTGCAACCTGCCACACTGCGGACGAAACAATGCAGTTATTGCAGACGAAGTTTCATGGTCGTGTTATTTCGCGCCGCGGCGATGTGAATTGGCCACCAAGATCGTGCGATTTGACGCCATTGGACTTCTCTCTTTGGGGTTTTCTGAAAGGAAAAGTGTATGCCAATGATCCACAGACCATTCCGGAGTTGAAGGAAGAAATTAGACGTACCATTAATGAAATTAGTCCGCAATTATGCCAAAATGTCATTGAAAATTTTGTCAAAAGAATGAACGTTTGCAAACAGAATTGAGGCGGCCATTTATCGGATATTGTGTTCCACATATAACCTCCATGTTTGTACTTTATATTAAACTAAAAACATGTGTACTTTTCAAATAAATAATATGTTTTATTAATAAATTAAAATGTCAGGTCATTTTGAGACACCCTTTAGATAGCAGATTTTTCTCCATCCGGAGTTCCGGAGTTTTACTTGTCCCGATAGAGACAGTGAGTTGGTCGCAATACTCAAAGTCGATAAAGTCAGTGAGTTGGTCGCGTTATTCAAGTTTCCGATAGAGTCAGTGAGATCAATGGTATCATCGGGATCAAAGGGCTGTTTCCTGATCGAGGAAGTCCGTAACTGAGTAACATCGAAGCTGAGTAACATCCGACGCCACCTTCTCCGCGGTTGGGCCTTACATCGCCAGTAAGTTTCCAATTATTTTACATCAAGTGGTCCCTCCACGTCTTCCCCCCCCTTTTTTTCTCTTTGGGGACCTATTAAAAATAAAATTTTTTAGTGCGTTTACGCCGTCCATTCGCCCCTCGTCGCCGCCGCCTGACGAGAACCACCCGATCGCGCCCGGATTTATCACCAAAGCCAACCGACAGTCTCGGAACCGACTGTCCCCCTCATACAATTCCCCTTGGCAACCCTCTCTCTACCCCTCGAAATCTCATATTCCCCAATATCAAATCCATCCCCGATTCCCCCTGCTGATTTCCCCCCGCATCCACCAGCACCCCCTCCAATTGATACCACCCCCTCAATCCCACATAATGGCTACTCTGCCGCTGTCCCCTTTCCTCTTCTTTTCCATGATGCCCAGGACCTTCTAGAGTACATGGTACACTTTACCCTCTCCAACCAAGATTTGGTAGTCGTGAGGATCCTAGGATCCGACGACCTTTTCTCGGTTCCGGTAGTGTCCCTTGTCCACCTCGACCTTTTCTCCCTCAATCCCTATGATCCTAGCCAGTACTAATAGCACCTCCCCCATTTCTTCCTCTCAAATCCACTCATCTCTTTCCCTATTTATACTCTCGTTATTCTCTCGTCATTTTCTCCTCCCTTCCATTCTCCTATGACACCACACACACACACACACACACACACACACACTCTCACACATCGATAAACGTGTACATTTAATCAAGAAAACCAAAAATTGTATTATTGTTTTTAATCTGATAAAATTATATTTATATTCAAAATGTATCATTCCAGTTTTTTTTTCTTCTTAATTATATCATTATAAAATTAACTTCCCGGTAGTCTTTATTTAAACAATACCTCTCCTCGTATTATTAAGTTCTCCCGCGATTGCACTTCGCCTTCTCCCCGGTCACTTGGATTAAGTTCCATGACCGAAAGTCAGGGCATATGGCCGTACTGACGCAGCTGGCGTTAAAGTGCGCCCCTCTCGGCACACTGACCCAGTTTGGGCCCTTTTTCAAAGTACGTCCGACTCATGTGTCCGTTTAGCGGAGCACGAGCAGAGGTTTCCGCTTCGTCCTCCGTTCGACCCCCGGCTCGTTAGGAGCCTCAGGGCGAAGCGAAGCGCCTCCCGATTTGCGTCGGTCCTTCCCCACGGCTTCCTTGCGGTCTAGAGCCCGGACACGACCAAATCGGTCTAACAATTCGGTTCCTTGTTACGTTCACTCCCTCAGTTCCGCATGCGCGCGGAGCTTGGACGTAACATTAGCAATAGTTCTGTCCGAAAAAGTGAAAGAAATGTGATTGA